GGGGGAGGAGGAGGAAGGGGGAGGAAACGCCGCCCTCTCGGCCCGGGCAGGGACGGCCCCAGGGGCAGGAGGGAGGGAACCCGCCAAGCCCCGAGGAGTGCCGTCACCTCAGTCGTGGGACTGCCCACGCCAACCAGAAGGCTCCGGACCCTGCACCGGGAGCTCAACACCGGCGCTGCGGGAAACCGCACTCCCGGGAGCCCAGGTTGTGGAGAGCTCAACTTCGGCCCTACCCGGGAGACCCGACGTCAGACGCCAGACACCCCCCGGAGTGGCCACCGGGGCCAGGGCGGAGAAGGGGCGGCCCGAGAAGGGAGCCCCAGGGCAGAGGAGGGGAGCCCCCGGGAGGGGAGCCCCAGGGCAGAGGAGGGGAGCCCCCGGGAGGGGAGCCCCAGGGAAGAGGAGGGGAGCCCCGAGAAGGAGCCGCGGCGCCGCGAGGAGCTCAGGGCTCCCCGCACGCTTACCCGAACGCACCTCGCAGCGCTCACCGGGCTGGGCGGCCGCGCCAGGACGTCCGGCCTAGCGTCACCGTCCCCCGACCCCGAGCCCTGCGCTGACGGCGCGGCCTAGGCCCAGCTGTGCGGCGCCGGGAGCCAAGCGGCGCGGCGGGCGCGGTCTTGCCCGCATCCCTTCCCAGTCGGCCCCGGGGCCGGAGGGGAGGGACGGGCCGCCGCCCTCTCCGCAGCGCCGGCTCCCGCGACGCGCGCCCGTCAGCGGCCGAGGCCGCTTTAAGAGGGCGGGCACGGGGCGGCGCAGTGCACGCCGGGAGCTGGAGTTCCGTGGCCCAAGCTGTCGCCCACCTTGTCCCAAGAGCTCCTCCCGGCCGGCGTGTGGCCTGGTAGCCGCAGGCCAGCGACGACTCGGAGGGAGCGAGCCGCTGGCCCTTTGAGAGAGGCCGGACGCCGGGAGCTGAGCAGAGAGAGGCGCGAGTCCCGTCGGCCCCCGGGCAGCGCAGTGCACGCCGGGAGCTGGGGGGAAGAGAGAGGCGCGAGTCCCGTCGGCCCTCGGGCGACGGCGCAGTGCACGCAGGGAGCTGGAGTCCCGCGGCCCGACCGTGGCCCGCGCTGCCGGCGCCCCCGGCGAGTGTCCGCCAGCCCGAGGCCGCGGCCGCGGGAGGACGAGGGCGGAGACGGCCGGCTGCGCCTGCGCACGAGGCTGGGGCCGGCGGACGCGGGCGGCGCGGGGAGAATGGTAGGTGGCCCCGCGTCGCCCTCTGCCCGTCGCGGGCCGGGTCGGGGTCGTGGGCCCCGTGGCGGGGCGGCGTGCGGGGCCCGGCGGGCCGCAGGTGCGAACGAGGCGGTGTCGGAGCCGCGGCCGCCTGAGGGCCGGGGTCGAGGGGCGCCTGCGGGCGCTGCTGGGAAGCCCGTGCGGCCGCGGCGGGGCCTCAGGGAGCGCGGTTCTTGCCTGCAGGTCGTGGGAGCGGGCAGGCTCGTCGCGGTGGCGGGACCGCGTTTGTGTCTTCACGAACGGTCCCTGTCGGTCGGGACGGGGAGCCGGGGCGGCCGGAAAGCCGGTGGCGAGGTCCAGGCGTGGGCGCGAACCGCCCCGTCCGCGGGAGGGGCTTCCACGGGGCCGTTCCGGGCTCGGCAGGTCCGGCGGGGGGTCTGACCAGGGCAGATTCGCGGGGAAGGCGACGCAGCAGAAGGGGAGAAGTAGGCATTACAGTCGGTCGGAGATGCAGAGCCGGAGCTCGGGAGAGGTTTCTGGACGTGCGCGTCCGTCACTGTGAGATGCGGGAACCGAGGTAAAGGATGGGCTTGGTCGGGCACCCGGCGAACAGGTGCCCGGGGTTTCTGTGTGTGAGGAGGGGGGTACGCAGGTGCTGACTTGGGAGCTCCGGGAGCTGCGGCCCCAGCGGGCGAGACAGACGCCGAACACGCAGCGTTTTATCGCGGTTGGGATAGGTGCTGCGGAGAGACGGCGCCGGGGACCGGGGTCAGGTGCCGAGGTCACGAGGGCGGGACCAAAGTAACGCGCGTGAGCCCAGCTCCCAGAATGAGCGGGAAAAGGCCCGAGACGGAGCGGGGCGAGGGGCGGCAGCTGTGCGCGGCCCCGGGCTGGAGGAACGGCGTGCGCGCACCCGTGGGCCTGGGAGATCCGCCTGCAGGGCCGGACGAGCGTTCTTGAGAATGACGCGGCCCGAAGCTGGCGCGGAGACCACGGCCGCCTTGTGCGGTCTGCTCCAGCAGACTGTCTTTGCGCTAGTGGTGATGGGAGGCTGCGGGAAGGATTGGAAGGTTCCAACACAAGAGACTTGATAGTGCAGGAAAAACAGGGCGCAGTCGGGAGGGCAGAGCTTCAGGGTGGGCAGAGGAGCCGAAAACGAGACAGAGCGGCTGGTCAGAGAAACAGGACTAGTAGAAACCGAGAGGGGGTGCAGTCATAGGTGCTGCATGATGGAACAGCTGCAAAGACCCGCTGACTTGGGCAGCTAGAAGGCTTTGGTGGCGGCGGGGCAGTGTGGCCAGGCCGCAGGGAATGAAGTGAGTTAGGTTGCACACACCTGTGCCGGCAGAGAGCCCTCTCTGCAGCTCTTAGGGGGAGAGGGGCCTGTTGGACGGAACCTGGGAAAACCTGAACGCGTTTGTTGTGCCAAAGGACCATTCAGCCATCAGAGGTTGAAGATTCAGGAACGTGAATTTAACCCCGCCCCACCCCCAGGCCTGCTCGACACCAAAACAGTCAAAGGGATCAAGTTTATGTAGCTTATTTGATCAACATAGTTGCCCTGTCCAGCCTCTTGTAAGTGGATCCTAAGAGATGATTTTGTTGTATTAAATGTCTCTGGAAGAACATTTTAAGAATAATTTTTTTCATTTTATTAATACGTCGAGGCATCCTTGGTGCCCAGATTATGACAGTGATTTTTCACAAGGTCACAGTTAAAATGTTCTCGAGACTTTTTCATAGTTTAAGGGTTTTATTTGGTGTTTCCACTGGATTGTCCAAATTTTATTTCAAGAATTTTGTACATTTTAATAGAGTAAAATAATGAAACATAGAAAATGGCCTCCCCCGCTTTAAAATTGTCCTTAATAATTTAATTTTCATGATATGTTAAGTCTGGTGGACGTTGTCAGACCCTGAAGGGCAGACCCTGGTGCTACACCTTATGGACCTTGATTACTTTTATGTGGGTTTCGTCCTGCCTGGGTGGACACAAAGCTTTCTTCTTTCCCTGTAGCTTTTTAGTTCATGAGCCTTTTTTTCCCTAGGAAGCTTTATGCCAGTTCTCTCTTTTGCAAATCGCAACTTGGTCTCTTAATCACTTTTGGATGTGAAGCGCATGTAGTCTTAACACTTAGCTGTTGATTGTTGTCTTGATCACTTATTTTGTGGAGAAACCTGTAAGGGGTGGCATCAAGTTACTGCAGCTGTATTGGCGGTTACCGCGCTTTCCCTCTGCGCAGAGCCTTGTTAGCGGGTAAGGCCTGGCCCCGCAGCTGCCGCTGCTCTTCAGAACCAGCCCCTGGGCACCACCTTGCCATTCAGGGTTGGTAGGAGGGTCTTGTGACAGGAAATTTGAGTAGATGGGAGAGGGACCTAGGTGTTTCTCTAGCTCCACGTCTGCCCACTCTGCACCTGACAACCACTTTGAATGGCCTGAATCCAGGTACTCCTCTTGTGCTCCTCTGGAGTTTTAGAAAATACTCCTGTGTGCTGTTGGTGCAGTGGTATTGTCACACGTGGGGGCTTCCAGAGGTGATCATCAGATACCATCACATCTTCTGGGTTCTTCGTTTGTTTGATGTGGAGCCATCACTTGTATAATGCGGGTTAAATAATTCAGTTGCTGATTAGTCTTGGTTCTAAGGTTCTAAGGGTGCTGTGTTAAATTTTTTTTGAAGTGTACGATTCAGTGATGTTCAGTACAATCACAGTGTTGGGTAACCACCACTGTATTTAGTTCTAAAACATTTTCATCACCCCAGAAGAAAACCCTGTACCTGTTAGCAGTGACTCCCATTCCTCCCTCCCCCAGCCTCTGGCACCACTAATCTGCTTTCTGTCCTTGGGGGTTTGCCTGTTCTGGGTACCTCATATAAACTGAATCATACAGTACGTGGCCTCTTGCATCTACCCTTTTTCACTCAGCGCAGTGTTTTTGAGGTTCATCCATGTCGTGGCATTTATCAAAACTTCATTTTTATGGCCGAATAATATTCTATTATATGGATATACTGAATTTTGTAACCATGACAGAATTTTAAAATCTACCATTGGTGGTTGTTTCCATAATAAAGATACCGTGGCTGTTCCAAATTACTGATTTTGGGGGTTGCACATCTGTCTTTATCTTAAGGCAATAAGAGGCGATTCTTGGCTTTTGCTCAATCCTCCCTTAGGGAGTTTCTCAACTTCATGAAAGGATTCTTTATAGCTTTGTATTTTCGTCAGTTTACTGTTAAAGCATATGGGATCTGCCTGATTGAGATAAACTTGATCTTACCAGAGAATATAACCTTGAATTCTTTGTTTAGTTCTTTTCAAAGGCTCAATTTCAGGAAATAATATAGAGAATATGTATTCTATATATTCCTGTAGAATCTAGATTGGGGTCAGCAAACAACAGCCCACAGTCTAGCTGCCTGCTTTTGTAAATAAAGTTTTGCTGGAGCACAGCCACACCTACTCATGTATGCAGTATGGCTGTCTGCCTCCCCGCGTAAGGGCAGAGGTGAGTGTGTGTGGCAAGGGAACGTTTGCCACCTTCTGGTCTCCATCACCAGTTCTTAACCTGAGTTCCACCTTCCCCTGCCTTCCGAGCACTCCACAGGTGGGCTTACACTGTCTGTGAAACCCCTGAGGTTTTATGCAAAACTGCGTGCCCATGTGTGAACTGGGTATGTTTTCCTGGAGGAAGGACCCTGACTTATCAGATTCCAAAAGAGATGCAGGACCTCGAAGTGGTCAGAAGTCATTGTTTTGAGGAGCTGAAATGTTAATTCCCTGGGCTCACCTGGATCAGCAGTTCTCAGACTTTCTAGTCTCGGGACCCCTATAATAATTGATTGGGACCCCAAAGACGTTTTGTTTATGTGGGTAATTGTCATCAGTAGTTACCATATTAGAAATTAAAATAGTTTTAAAAGATTGATTGATTGATTGGCAGAGACGGGGTCTCACTCTGTTGCGCAGGCTGGTCTTGAACTCCTGGCCTCACACGGATCCTCCTGCCTTAGCCTCCCAAAGTGCTGGGATTACAGGCGTGAGCCACCACACCTGGCCTAAAATATTTTTTTGTATATTTCTATATTAATAATAATAAACCATTACATATTTACATTACATTTTTGCAAATATCTTTAATGTCTGGCTTCATAAAAGGCTTTCACATTTTTGGTGTTGAGGCTGTAGTAATAGCACAAGTCACACAGGCCGCCCTCCCCACCCAGGCCTCTGCTCTGAGAGGGTGGGAGAAAGGCAGATACGGCTTAGAGTTCTCAGCACAGTTTTGTCACCGTGGACGGGGTCCTCGGAGCACACTGGGGTTGTGTGTCTGCATCACATCATCGTGTCCTGCTGAGTTGTGTTCTGATACCTAGGCATCAGTGGGCTCTGGGGTAGCGTTAGGAAAGACTCTGGGCGCTTGCCTGTTGGCATTTCGGTGAGGGACAGGTCTGTGCAAAGGGGACATTGTACCTTGTTCCTTTCCAGAGAGCAGCAGGAGCCATTGCCCTGTGGGTTTAGGGTGGGAGGAGCTTAGCTCCGCTGAGCCCCTGGTAGGTTTTTAGACCTTACTCGGGTCTAGATTTTCGGCTCCCTTTCAGCTCTTGTGTGCGGCGTGCATGTCTGTATGCTGATGGTATCCTGGGCCTTCTTACTTTGCCTTTTCCCTCTGAATTTCTTCACCTACATCTTGTTATCCATTTTTGTATTTCTGTAGGTTATATTATAATTCTGTTTTTATAAATTGTCTCTATTTGTACGAGATTGAGTATGAATCCTAAGTAAAAAATTTCCCCTTGTCATATTCTCTAAAGCCATCGTGTAGAAACATTAGCATCTAGTAGATTGTAGTCTGTTTTCATTTACAGAAATTAGTGAATCACTTTCTTTTTCAGTGTTGCTTTCATCAAGTTACCTTAGCTAAGTGGAAACTTAACCATCCTATATCTGGAAGTATTAAGATGTTATTCTGTTTCATTATATACTATATATAGTACAGTTACTTGGCAGTTTAGTTATTTATTACCTACCCACAGCCTCTGCCCTATTTTTCATTTTATTTCTGTCTCGTGTACACATTCTTGTTGGTATTATCATTGTTGTTTAGTCATAAGAGGCTTTTTTGTGCCTACTTGTGAAACTGCTGTAAGTTTCTTTTAACTCTAAGTTACATGAGTATGTTTTCATCGGTGTGGTTCTGCTGATTTTAAACTGGGAAAAACTTAATAATGTTTCCAGACCATACAGCTTCCTTCTAGTTATTAGAGCCTGAACTTGAAGCCAAAGAACACTCTGCAGATGGGCCCCCGCGGTGACGTGAGGGCCTTGTCTTATTTCATAGAGGGCTAGGTGTGTGTCATAAAGAGAGTACTGAGATTTTTAGGAAAAAATACTGTTAAACTTCATGCAAAGTAAACTGGGTAGAGATCAAAATGTAGTTTGTATAAAATACTACAATTTTTTGAAGACTAGAACATGTATTTGTCACTATATAGCTGCCGTCATTTCGGTTTTCAGAAGACTGGGCAGCCTTTTTAACTGATGAAGAGCAAGGCTTTGTCTTCTGTAATTCTGGGGTGACGTTGAGTCACCCAGTGAGAAAACTAAGTCCGGTTAAGATATAGGTGTTAGGGGTGGAGGCTGAAACGGACCCTGGAGAGGTTTCATGGGCTTTCCCGCTTCTTTTGCATCCCAAAGCACAAGCTGAAAGCATCTCAGAAGGACAAGGTCCGCCAGTTCATGGCGTGCACGCACGCCAGCGAAAGAACTGCTATCTACTGCTTAACGCAGAATGAGTGGAAACTGGACGAGGCCACAGACAGCTTCTTCCAAAACCCAGACTCGTTCCACAGGGAGTCCGTGCGGAGCGCGGTGGACAAGAAGAAGCTGGAGCAGCTGTACGGCAGGTATAAAGGTAAGAGGTGACGGGACAGCAAAGCCGGACAGACACGTTTGTCTCTGGCAGGCACGGGGAATCACAGCTTGGAGGCGGGACATCTTGGTGGTGGTCACCTCTGTCCCTGCAGTGTTTTTCTAAGCACTTGTATTGAGGCTGAAGTACTGGTGTTGAGAAGGTTGTTTAAGAACAACACCAGATCATGAAAGTGATCCCTAAGCAAGGGTGAAGGCCAGCATCTCCTCACCCAGTGTCCTGGTGGTGTAGCCCTAAGACAGCAGAGCCAGCAGGTAGGCTCTGGGAAAAGCTCCTGGCAGAGAAACCTTTGTCTTGCAGATTAAGTTGTTTTCCTTAACATCAGTACTTGGATTGCAGCTTTCTCTATCAAAATGCAGCCCTGCTATAAAAATAAGTCTGCATTGATGGGTATATACGGATCCAAATCCCTCAGCAGGTTTTAAATTTTCACATCAACCACTGAATGGGTTATAAGCAGAGGCAACAAGGATTCAAGAGTTGGCTTGTTCGCGCACTGCCACACGCAGCTCAGCCTGTCGTCCGCGTGCCTCATATGTTATAAAAATGAGTGCGCTGTATTCCTAGCATGACTTGAACTATTCAGCATTATTGCATATGGAATCTACCAAGATGGTTTATTAGGTAAGAGCATCATCACGTATAATGTTAGGAGATGGAATTGAATAGAAGAATAAATGGGAGTTTTTTACAGAACCTTTGTCCCAGAAACTCTGGCCAAGGTCATTTCTCTCCCTAATACAAGAGAATAGAGTTCGAAGGGTGTTTGTGGTTTCGGTCATTTAATTTATATTGTAATTTTTCTTCGGCAACAACATATATATAAATAATGTAGTATAGAGTACTTTAGGTGTGATAAAGAATTTAACTTTGGTCATTTAAAGAACCTACATGTTTTCTCTTTGCATTTTCTAAACCAACAGAATTCACGTATACATTACAATCATGTATTATGAGGCACATAATCTGTCTTAAATTACTGGACTTAGTTTGGTGAAGTCTTGCCAAGATGCTTTTAATAGATTTCACTGTTTGATTTTTGGATAGACAAAATGCTAAGTGCTTTAATTTTATTTCTAAACTAGAAATAGGGGGTAGGGAGCCTGGATTTCTAAGCTGTTAATGTGGACGCTTAAGCTAAATGATTTTGAAAAGTAATTACTGTCCAGTGGCATTAGAACTAGCAAGTGAAAGCACTCAAAAAGAAAAACATCATAGTTATGAGGAAAAACTCAAAGTATTACAAAAACTTTATCCATACAGTATCTTTTATAGCAGTTTACCTTTGGGCAAACTAAATTTCTGTAAACTTGAATCTTTATTTTACTTTAGGGAAGTTAAATTCTTAGTGATCAAATCTTCTCAAAGAAATTTCAATGATTTTTTTTCCCCTAAAGCCCAAAAACCTACATTTTTAAAAATAGGACTACTTTCTGGAGAAAGCGTTGCTTGTGTCTCACTGTTCCTTTCACGCACAGCAGAAACTGCAGTCATCGACCGGGGTGCTGGAAGCACTCTTCTGGGCCTGCGCAGCGGAGAGGTTTGGGTCTGACCACTTACGTTAGGATTATTTTTCAAAACAGTGACACTTCTTTTTCCCTGATTTTCACTGCAGACCCACAGGATGAAAACAAAATTGGAATCGATGGGATCCAGCAGTTCTGTGATGATTTAAGCCTAGACCCTGCCAGCATCAGCGTTTTGGTCATAGCGTGGAAGTTCAGGGCAGCAACGCAGTGTGAATTTAGCAAAAAGGAATTCGTAGATGGCATGACAGAGCTTGGGTAAGTCAGCTGTTGTCAGTTTAAATTTTTCACAAAGGAAGATGCTTTAAATATTATTTACTTTTTAGCAACTTTTAATATTAATTTCATATCTATTTATTTTCTTTGTAGATCTTAAGAATTTCTTAGGCATCTGCACTGTTAAGCCTTTGGTTTCCTTTTTCATTCCAGTTTAATGTCTTATTTCATTTCACATTTTTATTCATATCAATTGCTTTTGTAGCTTATTTTCTTTTTAATTTTTTCCTTCCAATTTTGAATTTACAGTAAATAACCAGGTTTTTTCTAGCCATTCAAATTATTTAACAATACTGTATGCTGAATAGAATCTGTTATGTTGCTATGTTAAATGTTAATAAAATGTCATTTTGGTTTTTGCTTGTAACATTTCTGTATTCTACCTACAGGGTTGGGATAAAGGCTTCATTAATAACTTAAGATGTTTCTTATTTATCAGATAAGTCATAAAAGTAGATGAAAGCGCCTAATGAAGCGCTGTCTTCCAATCGTCAGCTCACTGAGCTGCAGTCCTGCGCTGCGTCACAGCGCCGCGGTCAGCGGCGGGCATGTGCACAACGGTGTCCCATGAGATTATAATGGAGCTGACAAATTCCTGTCACCTAGTGACGTCACAGCCGTCACAGCACAACGCAGCGCATCACTCCCGTGCTTGTGGTGATGCTGGCGTAACCCAGTCCGTGCTGCCAGTCATAGAAAGCGTGGCACATACGACTGAATACAGTACTAATATTTGATAATGATAATAAATGACTGTTTTACCAGTTTATGTATTTGCCATCTGGATATCATTATTGTAGAGCATACTACTTACTAAAAAAGTTAACTGTGACACGGCCTCAGGCAGGCCCGTCAGGAGGTGCCAGAGGAAGGCGTTGTTGCCCCTGGAGACTGGCCAGTGGGACAAGACGTGGAGGCAGAAGATCCTGACCTGGTGTGGGCCTCGGCTGTC